CCAGAATTCCCCAGCCAGCATTCGCTGGCTGGGGAATTCTGGGAGTTGAAGTCCGGACATCTTCAAGTTGCCAAGGTTGAGAAACACTGGTGTAACCGATCCAGATCGGAGCCAACTCGGCTTCTCCACCGTTGGCCTACCTCGCAGGGTTGCAAGGGAGGCCTCCAAAGGGCCATTCCTGGAGGCGCCGACGACCCCATCACCACCATCCCCTTCCCTTTACCCTCCCCGCCCCCAAATGCGAAAGCGACTCCAAGAACCTCGTCCTGACCGTTATCCCCCCCCCTTCGTCCGGCGATGTCACGCCAAGGGCAGTGACGTCACCCGCCCCCACTCTTTCAATGACGTCACGCGCTCGCTCAATCTCCACCCCCCTCCTTCCCCACACCGACACCTCATCGATTCCGCAGCTTGGAGGCTCACCAAGACGGCCCGCTCGGCCGGGCTCGCCAGCGCAGCCATCCTCATCCCCGTCGCCGCCGCTGGGTCAGCGAGAGACGCCAGGAGCTCCCCAGCACCGAGGCGTCGGCTGGCTTCCCACCCCTTCTCGCTCCTCATTGGGCGAGCGCCGATGGCCCCGCCCAGATACCTCTGAGGCTCCTCCCCCCCAGCCGCTCGGCTTTTCATCGCTGGTTGCGGAGGAGTCCAGCGCCAGCATAGGAGGGGTGGGGGGGAGTCTTGAAGACCACTCCCCGAATGCAATGGGGTAGCCGTGGGTTTTCCAAGCCCAATTAATAGTAAACCCAGCTGGGAGGAATCTTGGAGATCATCTAGCCCAGCCCCTTGCTCACGCGGGAGACCTAGACTAGGGATTCGAACCGCCGACCTTTCTGGTCGATAAATTCAGCGTCTTAGCCACCTAGCCAGGCTTGGAAAAACCCCAGCGCCCCATTGCATTCGGTGGGGGAGGGGTTGTCCACCGGTATGCCCCTCTCCGCCCCCATCGTAAATGCTCTGCGAGCAGCCAGCCGTTCTCCCGATTTGCAATCCGCCGCAAAGGCTGGAGGAGGGGGGTGCAACATGGCAGAACCGGCTGCCCCGGGAAGGGTCTCCCGTGCTGTGAGGTTTCGTTTTTGCTGCTTTAACCCCGGAATTGGGTTCAACCGTGGCTTCTTCCCCTTTTTTGAAAGGAATAGATCAAATAGGGATTCTGGTATCCAACTTCCGTTTTGATGGCATGGAATATAATAGGAATAGAATAGAATGAAATTAGGAAAGAATAGAAAATAGAATAGAATTCTTTAATGGCCAAGTGTGGTTGGACACACAAGGAATGTGTCTTTGGCGCATATGCTCTCTGTGTACATAAAGAAAAATAAAATATATTCATCAAGAATCATAAGAATGCAAATACAGATGTAGAGTTACACCTGTTAATTCCCTTTTGCAACCTTCTGGCAAGCAAAGTCCAATGGGGGAAGCCAGATTCACTTAGCAACCATGTTACTCACTTAAAGTCTGCAGTGATTCACTTATCAAATGTGGTAAAGAAAGTCGTAAAATGGGGCAAAACTCGTGTAACAAATTTCTCACTTAGCAACATAAATTTTGGGCCGTAAATGAAGGACTACCTGCACTGAACCAATGTTAATTCGTTTTAGTACCCTTAAAGCACAGCATGGTAACAATAAATAAGCAAATCCTTGACGTATGTTTTTTCCAGAAATACTCAATACTGTTTTGCTTTTCTTTATACATTAAAGAATGTCTGCAATGTCAAGCTTCTAATATTTTTATTTTATATTAGAACATTTATATATACATAAGGTTATCCTTTGGGTCCTATTTTAACAAGCTAGTCAATATTTTATCCTCTAAATGAGATTCACAAACAAAAAAACCCCACCTACAACTATTTTTACCTTTCATCTGTGCTCACCCTCTTAGTATCTGTTGTATTATGAAGACAGTATTTTCCTTCAAAGTTGTTTCAAGCATCATTTCCTTTAAAAGCATACACATTCCCAAAGCAAAGTCTGAATAAACATGAACCAATCGTAAGCCGAATACTTGTGTTCAAACCTCCACTTTTAATTCGTGTGTTGGCTCAAGAACAAAATGACAAAATATAGAGAAAAGCACTACTATTCAACATAGCTAATTATTTAGTAAGCAAATGATTTTATTTTCTAATGTTTATAAATAAATACATAAATACTGGATATTTTTTCTCATTTTTGTTCTAATATAACCACTTGGACAAAGAACAAGATCAACATGTCAATTCTGTAACTCTTCCTATCCACCCTGTAAAATAAACAATTCAATTCTTTCCAACTTATTTAAAATGTTAAAAGTTCTTCCCTGTTTTTTTCCTAATATTTCAAACAATATTGCTGAAATAAACTACATTGTTGTCATTGCAAAGGAAACTGTATGGTGTGTTGTGGCTTGTAAATGCTGATGATTAAACAATTGGTTTTTTTTTAAACAAATCGCCATACATCCTCCAATCTCTTTGTAGTATATTTTCTACTTTTATTAATGGCATTCATCCTTTCTAAACTTTCTCCAGTCCCTTACCCTTGAAGTTATACACAAATGATAGTCCAACAATTTAAATTTATACTCTTGACTAATCCATCTATTACCTTTTTTGTGTTTGAGGAGTGGGAGATTGGTATTCTAATTCTTCCCCCAAAGTATGCAGTTAGGAAAGAAGAATACTTTAGAGCAACAAATAGTATTGTGTTACCAAGAAAAGTTTTATTTCCTTTTGCCAGTAGCTTTGTTAATTGCACAAGAAAAAAAATCATTTTGTCTGTGTTTGCCATTTAAATCATCACCACACATCCTATCCAAATGACAAAACATTAATTAAAAACAAGGCAAAAATAAAAAATAAAAAATTCACAACCTTAATTACCTATATAGATCATTCATCAAAGGAGAAGGAATTAAAAGAAACAGCTTTTTTTCTTACAAGCTCTCCACAAGTGTAAATATCTTTTTAATCTTGAAAAAGGAGGGAACAACAACAAAAAAAGCAACTGCTAAAACAGAAATCCCATTTGTGTTTTTTTTTAAAAAAGAAACTTTACAGTATTGTCAACAATATTAAGACAACAATGACTAAGCCAGTTCCATCGTATTCCTCTTGTAACAAACGCTTTCTCCCCTCCTGCGCCATTGTGCCAGTTGGATTTTAAGGACACCCCAACTGAGAACTGATCAAAGTTGGCTCTCAAGAGCAGAAAGGCTGAGTAGGAAAAGGAGTCCCATGGCACCTTAAACCAGCAAATATATAGCAAATGTAAAACTGGTAGACTAATGGTGTCCTTCTAAAAAAAAGGCATGAGATGAGCCAGCAGTTCCAAGTTCTTGTTAGCGTTTTGAGCTGTTGCCCCCCCTTGGGGTATCACTAACCGTGCAGTGCTGCAGAAAGGACCGCACCCCTCCAGGAGATATTTCCCCTCTCTGACAAGAGAAACCACAAGATAAGAGAGATTGAATGGAAGACGCTGCAGTTCTCTTAACATTGCAGTTCCTAGTTCCATCTGGATTTTTTATTTATTTTTGCTAGGGAGACAAAATAAAGTATTCTGGGAACTATTTCTGCTCAGGTTCTGCAAGGTTCTCACAAACTCTCAGAAGGATCTCCCTGTCCTCTTCCTGACAATCTTTACAACAGGTGTCTAACTTTAAGATCGATGGACTTCAACTCCGAGAATTCAATTCCCTAACGATGCTGGCTGGGGAATTCTGGTAGCTGAAGTCCATCGGTCTTAAAAGTAGTCGAGGTTGAAATCCCTGCTTTAGAAGGTCTTTGGAAGAGTAACTTCCTGGTGTGTAATTTACTGCCTTAAGAACCACCATCTGGAATGAGGTCATCTTATCCCATATCTATCTGCTCTTCCTGACAGATACTAGTCCTTAAAAGCTTCACTTTTACTCATAAGGAGCTCATTTCCATTGGCAAGATACACTTCACTGTGTGGAAAAAGCAGGCCAATAGCTATGAAACCCCTGGACAAAAAACAATGTCCTTTTTTTTAAGGTGGATTGTCTGTACCACAGAAGGAAAGAAAACCTATGTAAGGAATATGTGCTGTAGCAAGAGCAGAGTAGGGTCAGTCCTACTCTTTTAATATATCAACTAAACTTTTAATATAGCAACTAAAACTCTGAGTCTTCTCTGCCTGAACTCAGAATGGGTCAGCATATCCAGAGCTTGGAGATCAACCCAAGGTTCAAAGAGATGGATGTCACATTTGCATTTTGAAAGTTTAAATACTGGCAAGAGAAGTTCACCGGTCTGAAATGCGCAATTAAACGGACTAGGTATTTGGGTGCTGAGTTCTTGAGCTCTGTTTATGCAAATGTGAAAGTCTCTGCATGAACCCAGAATTGTTTCCAACCTTTTCTGATGTAGCTTGAGCAAAGGGCTTTTCTCTCAAGATTAATACTGACTTTTGAGACTGAAAAAAAAAAACATTACAATTTTGTTGGAATATGTTGAGGCATCCCTGTATTTTAAGACTACTTTGTCATTCTGACAAAGAATTAATCTGTATCAGTCCATGGCTTGCTGAATCTTTCATTACATTACTTGCAAGCAGCATTTCTACTTCACGTTATGCCTATCTTCAGTTTTTCCGAAAGAAAAACAGGGAAGTCAAAATTCTTCATATCAAACGATCTGTTTTTTTCTGATTATCGGGCAACACTCAAGACCCAAATCATCCTTGCGAATATTAGAGGAGCAAAGATTCATACATTCAGGGTGCTGATTCTTCAAGGTGAATCTGAAGAAAGACTCTAGAAGTTCTACCTCTTTTTTTTTTTTTTTTTGGTAAATGCCCATTCTGGGAAATCACAGGCTGGTCAAAGCATTTTACAGATGCTTTCAGAATGGATAAACCATTTGGGAATTAAGAGCCTGTAGAGATATCCTGCATGTTAGAGGCTCACTTTGAATTGGAATTAAGTAAAAGGCTTAATTACAAAAGCTGTTTCCATGGAGAAGGCTTGGATGTAAAACCCTCTTCTTCTGTTAGGGAACTATGGCCAGGCGCTATATAAATTTAGCCCCCCCCACACACACCTTTTATTCTAATCTTTTTCTCCAGGGACAAAGAACACAGGTGTGCCAGAATCCCACCCCAATTGTCACAGCCACCCAGGTAAAGGGACATCCGCCTCTCAACTGTCTTGACTATGCAAGAGAACTCTATTTATATATATATTTATCCACAGCAAATTAGTGAAACAGCAGCTGGAAAGAACTTAAAATGCCCAGGGACACAAATACAATGAGAACCAGGATTAAAGCCAAGCAGCATTATTTGGGGGGGGGGGGGGGAGATATTCCATTCTATGACTCCCAAGGGGTGGCAAGAGATGTGTGGTCCAATCTCTTCTACTGCAGCTAGCTGGCACAGGAAGGCCTACTGTAGCAACTGTCCTTGTGGCAGATCTCAAAAGAGGGATATTTTTTTCTTTTTGTATTAAAAAGGAAAAGAAAGAAAGAAAATGGGTGGTGGGAATAAGGGGAGAGGAGAGAGAGAGAGAGAGACAAAGATGGACTGGTCCAGAGTTAAAACCCAGTATTCATCGTTATAATTAATCATAGTATTAACAATTAGGAGAAGGTAGCCTAGTGGATGTAGGCCCTGTACACAGCAGACATGTCATTATCAGACTGGTCCAAAGCTTTTGCCCGTTTGTAGACCTGAGGGAGAGAATGGAGGAGAAGAGACAAGTCACCAAGGAGGATCAGTGGCTTCCTACTAGCATCTTAAAACATCCCCAGCCGCACCTATTAAATTTCCTTCCAGCAAAAAGTACCCAAACAAATGAAAGGGTCCAGAACCTGCTGTTAAGGGACTCAATTTGGCAAGGAGATACAGGTAGTCCTTGACTTAAAAATCATTCATCTAGTGACCAAAGTTACCAAAGCACTGGGGGAAATGACTTATGGCCGTTTTCCCCACACCTACAACCCCTTGTAGCATCTCCATGGTCATACGATCAAAATTGGGGCAATGGGTAATCCTGTGACCCCAGGTCATCCAATCAAGATGACAGCAGTGATCTCCTGGGATCACGCGACCTTTTTTTGTGAACTTCCTGACAAGCAAAGTCAAAGGGGAAGCCAGATTCACTTACCAACCAGGTTACTCACTTAGCAACTGCAGCAATTCCCTTAACAGCCGTGGCAAGCAAAGTCGTAAGATGGGGCAAAATTCACTTAACTGTCCCCCCCCCCCCTTAGCAACAAAAAGGTTGAATTCAATTGTGATCATAAGTCGAGGACTACCTGAAATGTCTGAAGGAGAATCTGTGAATTCTTGTTATTTTACCCCAGTGGGCATTCAAAGTGGCTGTTTAATAAAATCATTTATTTTCGACCCTTCTGAATTTTAGATAACACATTCGGAGATTCCCCGTCCCCTTCACAGAGCGAGTCTGGTTGGTGTAGAATTAAAATGTAGAAAGCATATAATTATATCCCAGTAGGAGGCAGTTAAAATTAATTAAGAAAGCAGCTACGGTCAAATATCTGGACTGAAAAAACAACAATCTCCATTCAATTTTTAGCGGCTTTTCTAAAGGTCTGCAAACAAAACTGGCCTTAAGACAGGACTGAACAGAAATAGGGTTGGGGGGAAAAACATACCTCATTGGCTGCAGCTGCCATTGGAGTTGGATGATTAACAGAATCGCCTAGTGCAATGGCTAATCTGAGATCCTTCTGGATGTATTTCAGGTAGAAATCAGGTTTGAAGTTTCCTTGCAGGATATCTAGAGAAGGAAAAGCCCAGCTACGTTTTCATATTCCACTTTCCCTTACTGACAAACCCTCGTCCTTTGTCCCTTCAGATTTCACCACTCCCAGAGTGCCAATTCAAACATGCAAAACCATGTCTGGCCACAGAGTCATCCTTTCCCAAATTATCCATGCTAATAAATAACAAACTCTCTAAAAGATGTCCCCCCACCCCCAAGTCTTTTACATGCTTTCAAGATTGTAGTTTGGCAGTAGAAAGTAAACATGTGTTTACTTTCTACTGCTCTTCACACCAGTCATTTTTATGGTTTGGACGTACACGTGGAGATAAACTGCTTTGCTTGAGAACTCAAGGCAAGGGCGGTGGAGAGAGGTCTCCCTTCACACATCCCAAGCACAAACTTTAAAGTGGGTGAACTTCACAATTGAGGGGGATTTGAGCTTGGGTCGCCCTGGGCCTCCCCACTCTTTAATTACCATATTTTTCGGACGATAAGATGCACCGGAGTATAAGACACACCATTATTTGGAAGAGTTTTTTTTTTTTTAAGTTTTTGCACTCTGCACCCCAAAACCTCTGCATAGCTGGTTTATTGCAAAAAAAAAGGGGGGGGGGCATGCAGAGCTTTGGAAGTCTTGTAGAGTGCTCCCGGGTACTGGGGGTGGGGCAAAAACAAGAAAAAATGGGCCATTTCTCGCCAAAAAAGCATTCATAGGCTTTGGGAGGCTTGTAGAGTGCTCCTGGGGGGAGGGGCGAACAAAAATGCCCCATTTCTTGCTCATATTTGCCCTCCTCAGCCCCCAGGAGCACTTTCCCAAACATCTGCACATCCATTTTTGCGAAGGGGCGAGGTTTTGGGAGGCCAAAAATGCTGTATTCAGTGTATAAGACACACCCAGATTTTCACCCTCTTTTTGCAGGAAAAAAGGTGCATCTTATGCTCCGAAAAATATGGTACTTGGCTATCAGAGTCTGGCTAGGAGGAACTACTTGGAAACCTCCATCAAGTGTGGCTATGGGAGGTATAGGAAACAGTCCATACAATACACCACAGATGTCAAACTCAATTTCATTGAAGGCCGCATCAGGATTGTGTTTAACCTCTGGGAGGGGGCGTAATTCAAGAGGGCCATATGCTGCCCTCCCAGGCTCCGTTTTCAGCTGCAATGGCCTCCTGCAGTCCTCTGCCAGCAAAAAGAGAGCCTGTGAGGCCCGCGAGGCACTCTTTCCCCCTGCAGGCCAGATCTGAGTACCTTGTGGGCTGGATCCAGCCCGTGGGCCTTGAGTTTGACACGCCTGCAATACAGGAAACAGCTAGTTCAAGAGTAGTAGCAGGCAATTTGCTGGCCTCTAGATCCGTGTTTCTCAACTTTGGCAACTTTGAGAAGTGTGGACTTCAATTCCCAGAATTCCCCAGCCAGCATGGGAATTCTGAAAGTCAAAGTCCACACCTCTTAACGCTGCCAAAATTGAGAAACACTGATATGTAGGCCCTCGGCTCCAATCAGGCCCTCTCAAGAAGACCCAAATCAAAGGACTATGGGAACAGGTCAGAACAACTGGAATATTCTGGATGGCCTACACCTGATTTGAGAGAAACAAGCCTTTTTCCATCAAAGAGGAGGGGGAGGGAATGAAGAACTTTACTTTGGCACTTCTGATCCAGGAAAATGCTGGCCAGCTGTCCCTGATTGAGGATGTCCAGAAGGGTCTGCTGGGACTGACCAGTGACCTGAGCCAAAGTCAGTCCCTCTGCTATTGTGGCCATGAAGCTTCCTTGGACCATGTTCACGATCAGCATCATCTTGGCAGCATTGCCTACTTCTCCTGTGGGAGACGGGGAGAGATAGATAGAGAGCTTATCCTCAAAGAGATGGGGATAAAAATAAACCTTGATACCTTCTCAACAATATGTTAAGACCAGGGGAGCCAAACTTAATTTCATTGAGGGCTACATCAGGGTCAATGAAACACAGGAAAAAAAATGCAGAAAGAGATCCTGTACGGCAGGGGTCCCCAAACTTGGCAACTTTAAGACGCATGGATTTCAACTCCCAGAATTCTCCAGCCAGCATAGCATAGCTGGCTGGAGAATTCTGGGAGTTGCAGCCCACACATCTTAAAGTTGCCAAGTTTGAAGACCTCAGCTGTATGGGAAACCCATTAAGAACCCATGAATTATTAACTGTGCATTTTCATACTTTGACCTTCCAGACACGAGGGCTGTCATCCCCACCCCCCATCATGAAACTACCTAGGAAGAAAGAAGTCTTCCCCATCGCCTGGAAACAGCTACTGCAGTCTTCGTATAAGCCTCTGTCTCCGGCTGCTAATATCACCAGCATCCCATCGTTGGATAGCTGTTGGTTCCCTGAGACTGGGGCTTCCAGGAAGCGGCCACCTCTGGAGACAATCACCTGGAAGCAAGAGAAAGTGGACCATTCTGAGCAGAGGAGACAAGCTGCATCAGCCAAGGACACAGATGGTCATGCTCATGTCCCCACCCAGCCAACTCAGACAATATGGTAACAGTTACAGGTGGCCCTTAGTTAACAATCGAGGAATGGTTCGGATGTACGATGGTGCTAGGCCAGTAGTAGACCTCATGCTTGTCATGCGACTGTCCACAGTCACATGAACATGAATTGCAACCTTCCCTGCCAACATCCTACAATCAGGAAGCTGCTAGGAAGTCATGGATGGAGGTCCTCACTTAACAACCCACATGCTTCTTACTTACTGACAGCTACGGGGAGTGTAGGAACTTCTATCGCTTAAGCAGCGCATTAATGTGTTTTTTTGCTTTACAACCATGTCACTTAAAAACAGTTTCCCTTACAAATTAGCATTGTTAAGTGAGGACTACTTGCATTACCCAAACATTAATCTTTTGTGATGATAGGAAGCCTAAACACACCCCACAGCAAATAAAAAAAGAAGTATGCTAGCATACTTGAGAGAAATTATAGATTACTACACGTGAAAGGAAAATTTTGCAAGTTCTAAAAGCACTAGAGAGATATACTGTAGGCATCTATGCACAGGGCTTCTCTGTTAGGCAGCTTTCACTCTGTGGAACTCTTTTTACACACACACACACACACACACACACACACACACACACACCTGAGTAATATTAAAATCAACACATTTTTAATAGTGTGCCAACAAACCAAGGCTGTATTTTTTTTTTATAGCAAGACTCTGCCACCCGCCTTTGATTCTGAGCAGGGATGTTCATTTTCTGCATTTCATTTTGACTTTTACGATAATGCACTTTGATTTTGTGCATTGCTGCAATCTGTCTAGAACGTTTTGCAACTGGGGGAAACTGTGAGCAGTGAAAATCAATCAAAAGTATCCACACATGACACAAATCTTCATTCACACGTTTTGTTTGTAAGGAGGGGGACTATACCAAAAAAACCAAAAAACCTTGGGAGAACTGAGAAAGGTGGTTAAGCCAGTTTTGTTTATCATTTAAAGTAAAAAGAATAGCATGCCTCTCTCTGTGGTTAAGATTAGCATGCCCTTCTGTACGACAAGTCAACTCGTTAAATATTTCAAAAGCCATTTGAGCAAGCCCAGAGTCAGGCCTCCCAGGAAAAACAACTAGAAAGCTAATGTTCCTTTACAGTAAGGCTACGTTAGCAGAATATTTAAAGTCTGAAGGAACAAACTGCTTCTCTCTGCTTTTAATTTCTGATCC